AAAGCCCACATGGAAGAAGCACACCAGCCTGTGTGACCACGAGTTGTCGAAGGGATCAGCTATCAAGCATCAAAGAACAAAAAATCATATCATTGTAAATGAGGGTGAGTGCAGAGTGGAGACTCAAAGCCCATCGGTAGGCAACTGGACACCCCCTTACTGAAGGGTTGTGGGGAGGAGATGAGCGAGTTAGGGTGCAGGGTAGCAACGATGAAACATAAAATTTTCCTCCAGTTCTTAAAAGCTTCCTCCCCCCCCCACTATCATGATCCCAATTCTACCTTATAAATCTGGCTAGACCAGAGGATATACATTGGTACAGATAGCAACTGGAAACACAGGGAATCCAGGACAGATGACCCCTTCAGGACCAGTGGTGAGAGTGGCGATGCCTGGAGGGTGGAGGGAATGTGGGGTGGAAAGGGAAAACCGATTACAAGGATTTACATATAACCTCCTCCCTGGGAGATGGACAACAGAGAAGTGGGCAAGGAGAGACGTCGGACAGTGTAACATATGACAAAATAATAATTTATGAATTATGAAGGGTTCATGAGGAAGGGGGTAGTGAGGAGGGAGAGGGGAAATGAGGAGCCGATATTGAGGGCTCAAGTAGAAGGCAAATGTTTTGAGAATGATGAGGGCATCAAATGTACAAATGTGCTTGACACAATGGATGTATGCATGGATTGTGATAAGAATTGTACGAGCCCCCAATAAAATGATTTAAAAAAATACTTGTCATATTCAGCATACACAAAAAGAAGTTTCATATTTTCTGGTCATCTTAAAATTCAAAAGGATGTGAAGAAATTATGCTAAGGGGTAAAAACAAGAACTCGAAGTCTATGGTCCCCGTTGTGGAAGGAGGCTCACCTGGCACAAGCTACGATGCGCTTGTAATCCGTCTGGCTGTAGGATCGGAGGCTGGATGCTAGTTCCAGCAACAGGACCAAGCAAGAAGAACACAAACAAAGTAGAGATCTGTTAAAACTGGTTTTGGAACCTGTCAGAACAGCATCATTAATAAGCAGGTCTCTGAATACATTTAAAATGATTTGTGATTTGGAAGTTGAGCATCTTAATGATTTTAATGGAAACTCATGATTACTGATGATATCAGGAAACCTTTAAATACGCAGACGGGGGTCTCTGCTCTCCAAGAATTTATTTTTTTTTCCAAGAATTTATTTTTAAGAAGTCATTTAAGGTTAAGAATGGATTGAAAACAGGTTGAGGGAAAGTTTGGGGGAGGGAGCGCAGATTCCTGGGTTCCCTGGTCATTGGAATGTTTCCAGTAGAAACAGATCCTGAGCCTCCGTAGAAAGGCACCAGGACGAAGGCAGGAAGACTCATCCTGACCCCAGAAGCTGTGGCCGGGGGAGGACTGCAAGTGTGCAAGTGGGCTTGCTCTGGCACCGGGAGAAGGGGACCAACGAGGAGGGGGATGTGAGGGCCATAGGTTAAAAAAAATACATGAGTATGTGGGTGTATGTATGTACAGACAATATACATATATAGCACATATTACATAGCATAAATATACATATATAATACATATCACACAGCATAAATATGTGCACATGTGAAAACCATAACTGCCAGAGATTAAGTTGAAGGTGGAG